GCTTTCAATACTGGAATAAAAATACTGCACGCTTTAGTACAGCTTTCGATACTGGAATATACTGTACTGGCAGGACGGCGTTCGGTACTGTACTGTACTGCACGCTTTAGTACAGCTTTCAATACTGGAATAAAAATACTATACTGTACTAAACACGCCCTTGCAACAATGAGAACACTCAAAACGGTGCAGCGCTACTGAGGATAGGTGGCCAATGTACACCTCGGCCATTCGTAGCCAAGACCTCGCTGCAGCACAGGGTTCCATCTTCACATAACTAATCCAGGAAAAAGGAACGCAACAAAAACAAAAACATCGTACTTGTGGATACGTCGGCCAGTTGGACAGGTCTTTCAAGACCTGCCGAACCTCCTCGTCCTCCAGGATGTCGAACGACTCGAAGGCGATGTTTTCCTCCCTCAGCAGCCCGACCAGGGTTCGGCTGAAGCCGCAACGAGGGGCGTCCGGAGTGCCTTTCATGAAGACCATCGTCTCCGCGCTGCACGGCAGAAAAGAGAAGGCGCAGGACATATTGCGATCCCAAAACTGAGAACGAAAAGATACCCACGGCAAGAACCAAACACACCCTTGGCATTATTGGGTCACCTAATTCAACAGCGAGAATAACGACCATTTTGACGTTGACAGTAGTGCGGGCGGGCTGGTTGGAGGGACCCCGACAGACGTGAAATGGCGATACGGACGGTGCCGCAGTATATCATTGCTTTCGGGAGAGCATCGCTGTATTATAGAAGCTCACATCCGGGATTCCGCAGCTGGATAAAAGGGGAATCAAGTGCGTTGACATGCTTGGAGCTGACGACTTCCTCGCACCCATGTTGGCGGGAATATCACATGCTACCGAATTTGTCACGTAGTGGTGGGAAACAGGGCATATTTTCGGATATAATTCGTCATGACTTCGCCGTCTGGTTTCAACCAACGCGTTTCTCCCAGTCCTTTTCTCGCCAACGTGTGCGCTCGTGTTGTGCTCTTTTCCAAACCGTTTTCTCGGCATCCTTCCTCGCCACTACACTACTGCGCCTTCTCTCTACACGCTTTTTCGTCAACATCGTTTTTCTCACCCCACATGTACATTCTCAGCACTCAGCACCGTGACCTCTCGTGGGCGAGATTTTCTCGCCACACTACCCCCGTCGATTGCCGGTGCCCATCGCTCACATATTCTGTGTATCTCTTTTTACCCACCAGTGGGGCCCCTTGTTTGGGGGTGCTCAGTAGCGTACTTATCTACGGGGCCTTCCGGGGTTCCGCGTATGATACGTGTATGATGGACATACCGCGTGGGTATCGCCTCGCCTCCCGCATGTCGATCACTCTCTCTCGAGCAGCGAAGGTCTTGAGTTGACCTTCTTTCTCTTTCGGCCTCTGACGGAAGCTGCCGCACAAGAACAACCATCAACTATCGTACTTCACCCATGACACGCTACACACGTACCTCTTAATAATGTCCTTGCACCGCTCCTCCACAGACTTGGGGCCCCCGACAGCCCCCACAGTGTTCTTGCTAGGCTCCACGCCCGCAGCGTTAGCCAGGCTGTTTTTCAAGTCCCCGTCCTCCGCCAGTTTGGACACCTCGTCTACCCCCCCCACCAACACCTCCTTCACGTACAGCTGCGAAATCGAGAGGGGGCTTCTCATTAGATCATATGCTCCGAAGAAGAGGTTAGGAAATCTACGTGACGGGGATTAGCACACATGGCATCAGCTGCCTGCATGCCATCCACTCGCTTCGTATCGAAGCAAAATCAAGACCCGTCAGAGAAGCATGTGCCTCACTCACACAGAGGGCCAACGCCACAACCGACAAGTTATATTTTTGACCATAAAAAATGCCTCACATCATTCAGACGTCAGGGTAGACGTATCAGAGAAATCAGGCTTCTTACGTAGGTGCGTGCTCTCGGCCTCGCAATATCGCGCCGCACAGCAGTGCATCAAACTAAAGAAGCGTGATGCCACGTATCTGCCAAACATCTGAACCAAGCGAAGTTTACACCTAACGGTTGGCAAGGACTGCGGGGTGGCCAGAACCGCGAAGCCGACTTTGAGTTTGACGGAAGAAGAACCAATCGTATCCTTGAAATGTGTGCTTCTATAAACGAAATCTCTGCGATGGCGAAGGGAGCTGTCGTGTTCTATCATCAGGGTGGATCATCAGGATGCATCACGAGGATGGAGCCTATACCTATGTATCGGTCTCGGCATGACGGCTAAAGGTCTATTGGAGAACATGGACGGGAAGGGGTGATACACAAAAAAAAAACAAGGTTTGTACCTCTGTGACAATTTTCTGAGCTACAGCAGTAGCAACGAGGACGGAAACACAGTAGCCGCACCATGCAGGGGGTGTGCGGTATCTATGGCCCCGCAAAATCACGGCTTTGGTATCTCTATCGAGCATGAACAACGAAAAAAACAACTGCATCTCCCCCAAAGGCGCGCTAAGCAGAGTCCCTACCTGAGGGAAGGTAGGCCAGTTGGAGTACACCTTTAGCCCTGCTCTCACTTCCTCGTCCGTAAGAATATCGAAGGACCCAAAGTCCACCTTTGCGCCTCTTTTCCACGTCACAGAAACGCCGACAAGCAGGGAATACAACGGTACGGGAAAGGGGTTTCAGAACAGAACATGTACATGCATCACAAAGCAATGATGTAGGGACGACCACTGCGGCACAGGTGTCGAAAATGATCGGTAGACGGACCCTGATGACTTTTGTCGTGCACAGAAGGGCACGTGAAGAAACACAGGGGCATCGCAGAGGCGGCACGGCGGTAGAGCACAGGTCGGGCTACAAGCTGTATCCTACGTGTCGTTGTTTCTTCTTCTCTACTTGCTGTAGCCTCAACCTGCATGTCAATCTGGTCCCTGTGACAAGTGGCGAGTTTCACCGGTGCAAGGCGCACGAGGAGCGCGCACAGCCTCCCCGCAACGCCCGTCGAAACGCGAAAAACCGCGACCTCTCGACGGCAAAGTACGACAGATTGTCGTTGTCTCCATCGTTTGGTTGCGGTTCTCAAGGTGGCGAGCAAGTCACGGCCCATTCGGTCGACCATGGCGAAAAAAGTGTCCCGAGCGCGGCGCACCACAAGTAAAACACTGGAATGAACAACTCTAGCATGAGGCGAGCACCACGTAGGGGTCAAATGTCATACCCCTTGATTGCGAAAATGGACAGCGTTGGAACCACCATCTATCACTCGAGTATGTTGATCGCGAGTGCAGAAGGAAAACAAAAACAACTCAAAATATGGCATCCCAAACGGTCAGCCATACACAAAGGGAATGTGGCATGAGCTCCTCCGCGAAAACACCGGTTGCCGTGTGCGGTTACGTGGGATTGGTACGGCATTCTCGCGACGAAGTCCGCGGGTGGTTGCACTGGTGTTGGACACGTATCAGGCAGGATCGGAAGCCACGAACGCACCTGAGCATCTCGGCCATCTTTCGGCTGAACTTGCACTTGGGCTCCTCTGCGTTACCCTTCATGAAGAGCATCACCGGCGACGTGCTTGGTCGACGTACAGTAGAAGGTCACACGTCGGGAGAGAGATGGTCCCGCAAGCAGGGATTTTCACCCGACGGATACATCGCAAGAGAGAACAAAATGCTGCGATGAGCGATGGAGGGGCAACGCGCTTGATTTTGTCCATTGTACTTACTGGGGAGACTGTCGCAGCAAAACTGGGTGAGAGATCAAGATCAAAAGAGATCAAGCGAAAGACAGAGACAAACGGACATACGGACCAACGAGTACAAACATACGTGCAATGGTGGTGAAGCAGATAGAACGGCTGACCGTCCCCGGGACATCTACCACTGGCGGCATTTACTCAGAAGACGAAATGGGCAGATTGTCAGGCCCTAGCTGTGAAGAACGTTCGTTCTGAGGTTTAGGAACGGAAAAACAAGCGACCTTTGTCGAATGTGCTTACGGGCACGGTGTCCAAAAACAAGGGCTGTATCTCCGCCACGCCACACTCGGAAGTTACGTCTCCATCCACGACCTCACTGCTTGTGACTTGCACACACCCGATGATGCTCTTCAGCTTTGCCTTGAGCTCTGGCTGCATCCCCTCCACCCCATCCCCCTTGGCCTTCTGCTGTGCGACTTGTTCATTGGCCAGCTCCTGCACACGCTTGGCGAGCGTGGAGGGGTCCGCTCCCTCGATTCTCCCGCATGCCGCTCCACCCTGCATACCACACGTCCAAGAGGGCGCAGAGCACAAAGAAAGCGCACCCGCAGCGATATCAACGGAATGCGCGACAAAAACGACAACAATTTGTCAGTGATTCCCACCTTGTATCTGAGACTACGGAAAGGAACGGTTGGCCGCCATATTGTAGAGTAGGCCTCCAAAGAGGTGATGGTCTCAGGAGAAGTAGAGTAAAGGTTGTCAAAAATGCGGAATTTTTTGTGAAAGCTGAGGGCAGCGTGTCAGCTTCCTACGGCGGTTCCAGCACCATTGGTCAACACTTGCGGAAATCATCCGTGTCCAGGAGAAAGGTGCTGTGGTGTTGGACGGGTTGTGCACGCATCGTGCCTCCCACCGATACACTTCTTATTTCGTCCAACAACCCCCACTACCGTCGTCTGACGTCTGACAAAGCTCGTACCGTAACTACAGTCTACCGTTGTTTTTTTCGACTTTTGGCAGCGTGGTCCAACCCGGGGCCCCGCAGAACACTTCCAGGGACCCCCTCGGCATTTCTTTCTCCCCTCCCCCCCCGTTCCCCACCCCATTCTAGACTTAAGTGGGATGGCGCTGTTGGCAAAGCGCTGTAAAACACGCCACCCCAAGTATAGCCCCCATAGTATGCGCTACCAAAGACGCGTGACGCATGGATGCGTGGAGTGAGGATAGCTTACGGAAACCTCACAGGTTGAGTGATGTAGGAGATTGCCAGACACATAGACGTGTTGAGTGATTAAAGCTGTATACTGAAACCCCAAGGGTTGAGTGAGGTTTGAGATTGCCAGACACATGGACGGGTTGAGTGGGGATAGCTGCATACTGAAACCCCTCGGGTTGAGTGATGTTGGAGTGCCGGACACATAGACGCGTTGAATGAGGATAGCTACATACTGAACCTCACAGGTGATTTGTGATGGAGATTGCCGGACACATAGACGTGTTGAGTGAGGAAAGACACATACTGAAATCTCACAGATGGATTGGTTTTTGAGTTTGCCAGACACATAGACGTGTTGAGTGGGGATAGCTGCATACTGAAACCTCACGAGTTGAGTGATGTTGGATAGTGCCAGACACATAGACGCTTTGAGTGAGGAAAGACACATACTGAAACCTAACAGGTGATTTGTATTGGAGATTGCCGGACATACAGATGCGTTGAGTAGGGATATCTGTATACTGAAAATCCACAGTTGCTATAGTGAGGGGACAACTCGAGAATGCAGTACACATAGACCCGACCCCCATCCAGTACCCGGACCCCCCCTGAAAAATAGAGGCCATGC